TTCCTCCGAAATGTTATTATTTCCTTTTTTTACACATTTTCCTTCTTTCATTTTTATTATTTTCTTTAAGGACTAACGGCTCTGACAACCTTTGTRTTATTTGGAAAGGGCAATTTTGCTCTTAAACTAAAAAAAGGCCAATTTAAAGCCTAGACTTCAAAAATCATTCACAATTCATTAAATAATAAATAAAATAATAGAAAATGCTAATGTGATACTATTAAATTTAAGAAATTAAAAACTTACAAGTGAATCGCACTGAATAAAATAAAAATATTTAATATATAATTAATAAATATTAAAAATGATATATTTAAAAATAATATATAAATGAGTCCCACTTAAAATTAAAATTATAGGCAAGTTTCATTTGAATTTTCTTCCTTTTATAGAAAAATAATGCATGTGCCCCACCTCCCTCCCTCTCTCTCCCCCCACCCCCCATGTGTGTGTGTCTCAAATAATGAGTCTTTTGGTGTTGGTTGTGGTCGTTCTGTACTGGCTTTGCATTCATTGGATGAAACACTAGGCGACACATGTAGAATTTGTGAGAGTAAGTTTAAGATGAATGGGGTGGCTATGGCCTATGTATTTATAGAGTAAACATGTATGATTACAATTGAACTCTTTGAAAGTTTTAGATTGATTACAACATGAAGATAATGAGATAAAGAGATTAGGATAAGAAGAGAGATACAGATTAGATTCAAATTCATAGGAGAGAAGATTTTGATTTGATTCAAACTCTCTAATAGTCAATAATGTCAAGGCCAAGGTGAAACTCAACATGGGTGATATTTGGTTCCACGCAAAGGAATTTCATCAGCCAAGGTGGGTACAGGATTGTATACAAAACGCTTGCTTATGGGACTTCCATAGCCGTAAAGAAGCTGCTTATGGGATATTCGCCCAGATTTCCTATAAACTTTTTCTATTCACTTGTTATTGGCCGTGAATTAAGTCATACATCTCTTAATTCATAATAAAGATATGCGACTCCGATTCAAAGTGGATAGAGAGTGAGTAGGAAAAGTGAGTTGGAAATCCCGAATCAACCACCCAAATCAAAAACTAGATCTTGTCGATCTTTTTTTTTTTTGTTTTTTTATTACTTGTGCCCATGTGAAAGTTCCTCAAACACGGCCCAGTTGTTAAATTTTTCTGCAGTTGGTGGTTGGGGATAGTGGGTTACAGGTCAATCATAATTGAATATTAACAATAATTCCATGTTCCGTCTGCCCGTGGCTATATATAATCGGCTAGGGTGATACAATGAGTGCCAGATATTGCGGATAATTATTACCCGTTGTTCATTGCATCTCTACTTCTCATCGCTACCTTGTTTTTGTTTCCATGGCTTCCTCCTCTTCCACCCCTCGATGGAACTACGACGTCTTCTTGAGTTTCAGAGGCGAAACCCGTAAAAATTTCACCGATCACCTCTATGCGGCTTTGGTTCAAGGAGGTATTCACACTTTTAGAGACGAGGATGAACTGAAAAGAGGTGAAGCAATTACAACAGAGCTGCTGAAAACAATAGAAGAATCCAGGATTGCGATCATCGTTCTCTCGCCGAAGTACGCATCTTCAGGATGGTGCCTAGATGAACTTGTGAAAATCCTGGAATGCCAAGAACTTCTGGGAATGATTGTCCTGCCCATCTTCTATGGTGTCGATCCCTCGGAKGTTCGATACCAGACTGGTAGTTATGCCGAAGCACTTGCCGAACTTGAAAATAATAAATTCAAGGTGTTAAAGGAGGAGAAGATGCACAAGTGGAAGACAGCTCTCACAAAAGTTGCTAATTTCTGCGGGTGGAATTTGCAAGATTATGCCAATGGGTAATTCTCGATTCTAGGATCCTAGGCAACAGATTCTCTTTGCAAGCTTACCACAAATTATCATAAGTTTTCATCTGATTTCTAATGGTTATTAAACGGTAAACTCTGCGGTTAGGGTTAGGTATATTCAGCTTCAGCTTTAGGGTTGGGTTAAGGTTTTGATTGTTTTAGGTTTAAATCATGTTTGAGTTTTGGCTGACCCATATAGGACTTACAAAGTAAATCCCACTTAAATTAATGGGTTTAGGTGGAATGGATTAGCTGAAGACAAAATCATTCTCATGCACACTAGGCTGAGCTACCTATTTTGATCACACATGCCAGTATTCAGTACAGATGGGGTTTACACTGAACAGTGGCATGTTCACTCGTGATAGGTAATTCAGTCGGGTGTGTATGATTTTTTCTTCAGCTCATTTAGACTGTTTCAAAACATGTTAAAAAATATAATTGAAATGATCGGATCGGATTCAAGTTTAGATTGGGACATTAGAGGATTGGGTTATTCATGGTTGAGGCAAACCAGTGCCAAACTCGAACCGTTGACATCCCTACTCATAATATTTAAGTAACAAAAACAAACTTTGGATTTATAAACACAATCTTCCACAATTTTTTTTTTTAAATAATCTATTTTAGTGATGCCCATTAAACAGTTTTCAGTGTTGAGTTTAATTAATAAGGAGATAACGAGTAATGTTGGATATGATAAGGACCATGGTGGGACATATGAAAAGGAATTGCTAGTTGATGAAGATGTTAAAGTAGTATATATATGGATAGCAAGTACAAGATTATATGATAATTACTATTGAGATTGTGTGGTCTTTTTGTATATAGATTTAAAAGTTTATTTTTATTTTTTTGTATATAGATTTTAAAAAGTTTGATCTTTTTTTTTTGTCTTTTTTGTTGAAGAGGGAAAAAAGAGGTAGAGAGAATTGTTCTTGCCTTCTTGGTGTAAGTGTGTTTTTTTAGGAAAATTCTCGATTAGTACACTGTATTTTGGGTCTAGTGCAACTTTGGTCCCCAAACTTTAACATGTGTCAATCTAGTCCTTGCCATTAATTAATCTGTTAACCGGTTGTTAAGTGACATTTGAAAAGACACAAATGCCCTTTGAGTGTCATCTAATTCTCTTTCAACCATCTAAACGTTGACAAAAAATGAATAATTCCAAATCCTTACCTCTTCTATTCGAGAAAATAACTACTGCTCATTTTTTGTCAATGTTTGGATGATTGATAAAGAAAATTAGATGACACTCGAAGGGCATTTGTGTCTTTTCAAATGCCCCTTAATGGCTGGTTAACGGATTGATTAACAACAAGTACTGGATTGACATGTTTTGAAAGTTTGGGTATTGAATTGTCACGTTTTAAAGTTCGGGGACCAAAGTAGCTCTAGACCCAGAGTACAGGGTACTAATTGGAAATTTCCCCCTTTTTTTCTCTTGTTTTGTTCCTTGGATTAAGAGAGAAAAGGAAAAATGGATGTATAAGGATTATGGATTAATTTGGCTTGCAAGCTACAAGATTCTTGTATTGTTTCTCATTTTCTTTTATAATGAAGAGTGTTTTATAATAAGACTGAACTATATAAGTGCTTGCTCTATTCTGTATTTGTTTGATTTCTTTTTTTTTTTATTATTGCTATTGGATTCTTGTGGTTAATATTTAGTTCCAAATGCTTTATGGTTTTATCCCATGGTTATGGGTGGTTGTTGTGGGCCCAATAGTTAGATGGGAGAATGGGAGTCTTCTCACAAAAGAAAACAGATGGATGAATGTCTCAACTTTGTCTTGGACTTAGACATAGATGTATATATATGTGTGTCCCTAATACCATTTTCCCATGTTCTTAACAAGTCTAGACTCCCACAAAGTCTCAAAATCTAAATGGAATATATTGGCTGGATCTTCCCTTCCTAGGCATTCTTTAGAGTAACTCTATTTTATGATCTCATAATTAAGGAACTTATTAAAGTTCCTTGTATGGTTATATCAGATATGGAAGTAAATTCCCTAAATCAAGAGAGAGAAAAACCTGTCCAATCATCTCAACATTGGCTTCTTATGGTTGTTTGATCATGTGAAAAATGCTCTTTGGCTGAGTTTGGAAAGAGCACAAATACAAAATACAAGGTTTAATCTGCACTCTACACATTTGTACTTGTATTTGTACTCCTAAACTGAGCTTTACGTTGTGTTTGGTTGCAATGCAAATAAATTTGTACTGGTGCAAAACTATGACAGTGCAAATGGTTTGAGTGTAAATCCTGACCTATTTTTGTTTCAAATTAGAGCTTGTTTTGTTTGATTGCAGTAAAAATGAAGTAAATTAAGACATAAAATAGAATAATGTAAAATCCAAAACAAAATTAAACGGGAATTTGCATTTTCTTCATTTGCACTCCCATGCATGTGTACTAGTGTACAAATAAAATTGCATTGCAACCAAACACAGCCTTAAGAATGACAAATTCACCAGTAACAAAAGTAAACTTGAATTATTGTTTTGATTCCATTGTTTACAAAATCAATTTATTAGCATGCCCGTTTCGGTTTCTAGGTCTTTGTGGCTTATTTGGACTCATTACATGTTTTTCTTCTTTTTTCTGCATGGATTGCAATGTACAGGTATGAGGCAAGACTTATCCAAAAAATACTTAAAGAGATTTGTAGTAAACTGAACCCCAGATACTTGAACGTTGCGACTCATCCAGTTGGAATAGAATCCCGTGTTGACGACATCTTGTTACGCCTTAAAACAAATGATGTTCACTTCATAGGTATATGTGGTATGGGCGGAATAGGTAAGACAACCATTACTAAAGCTGTCTATAACCGCATCTTTGAAAATTTTGAAGGAAGCAGCTTCCTTGGAAACGTTAGAGAAGTTTCATCAAGACAACCAGATGGCCTGGTTTGTTTGCAAAAGCAACTCATTTCCGATATATTCATGGAAAGGGAAGATACACAGCTGGGTATTTATAGTTCTGATAGAGGAATGATGGTGATTAAAGAAAGACTATGTCGTAAAAGAGTTCTTGTTGTTCTGGATGATGTAGATCAACCAGACCAATTAAGGGCATTAGCTGGAGAAAAGAATTGGTTTGGCTCGGGAAGTAAAATCATCATAACCGCTAGAAATGAAAGTCCGTTTCATGAGATCAAAATGGATGAAATATATAAAGCTATAGAACTGAGTAAGGATGAATCAATTGAGCTCTTTAGTCGGTTTGCCTTTGGAGAAAGACATCCAAAGCAAGACTATGTGCATCTCTCAAATAGTATAGTGGATTATGCTAAAGGAATTCCCTTGGTTCTCAAGGTTTTAGGTTCCCTTTTATGTGACAAAAGAAGCATATCTGAATGGACAAGTGCTCTGGAGAAACTAAAAGCAATTCCTCATGATGAAATTCAAAAAACACTTCAGATTAGTTTTGATGTATTAGATGACACTGAAAAGAATATATTCCTTGACATTGCATGCTTCTTTATTGGAATGGATAGAAAATTTGTAGTAAGCATATTGGACAGTTGTAATTTCTTTGCCACAATTGGGATCAGTGTTCTCATCCGGAGGTGTCTTATAACAATTGAAAATGAGCAGTTGATGATGCATGATTTGCTTCGAGACATGGGAAGGGAAATTGTTCGTAAAGAATCTATAGGGGAACCAGGAAAACGCAGTAGACTGTGGGCTCATGAAGATGTTCTCAACGTGTTGAGAAATGACAAGGTATGATTAGAAGCATTATTTTTATTGTTCATAAGGCTCAGTTCCCAAGGATTACTACAATTGCAAATTTGTAGAGTGCTAAACTTTATATTTCATTTGTACTCTTTCCAAACTGAGCTTAAGTTTTATTTACCAATCTTTTAAAAATATTAAAATATATTTTTCAAAACAGAAATATAATTTTCTTTGGTATTTTTACTTTTGTACTTTTAAAATATAAAAGTATAAAAGGTAGAGTTGGTGATTTTGGAGGTTTTCATACTTTTTATATACTCTTAAAAAATATGAAAGCAGAAATATAAAATATACAATACAAACACTATATTATATTTTGGTATACTTTTGTACTTTATAGCCAAAGTTTTACGAGTTGGCTTTGTCAAGGTAAGCCTACGCTCACTCTCTTGTAACCTTGCATTGGAAATATCTCCCTATGAAATAAAGCATATAAGTATTGAGATATTCTCAATGAAAGGCCGTAAAGATTGTTCGTGGGTTCTTTGCCCTGATCAAATTCAAAAAAAAAAAAAAAGCGTTTTACAAAATCTAGCTATTTTACATATAGAAAAAAATAAAATTAATTGTAAGGTGGTTCATATCCAAATGTACTTTCAATTCTGATTCAACTTCTGAATTTTCACACACCATGCATCGATCAAAACAGTAGTGATTTTACAAATGGTCTCTTTTGTCACCGACCGTTTAGGAGCAAGCAATTTTGGCTCACAAACTATGTATATTTGTTCCAGGGAACAAAGAAAATTGAAGGGCTCCTCTATAGTGGAAAATATCAAAGGTTGAGTACTAAAGTATTTGAGAAGATGAAGAAGCTAAGACTTCTCAGGGTGGATTTTATACACCTGGAGGGAGACTATCAACATCTTCCTAAACAGTTGAAATGGCTGCGATGGAACCAGTTCCCTTTGGAATCTATACCAGCAGATTTTAATTTGAAGGAGCTCGTGGTTCTTGAGATGCGATGTAGTAATCTCAGACAAGTATGGGCGGAAACTAAGGTAAGATGCAGTCCATATTAGCTTTTCTTGTTTGGATAATTATGCTATATTTCCAAATTAATTCCTCACTATTCTTTTTCCCTTATTTTTACAGCTTTTGGAACAGTTAAAGGTCCTTGATCTTAGTCATTGTTTCTACCTAATCAAAACCCCTGACTTCTCAAAGCTCCCCAATCTTGAGAAGTTGATACTTGTAGGTTGTGAAAACTTGGTTAAGGTAGACAAATCCATTCGGTGTCTCAAAAAACTCGTCATTTTAAATCTGTCTCAGTGCTGTAAACTAATCAATCTTCCAAGCACCATTTGTTATTTGGAATCACTTGAATGCCTTGTTCTTTCTCATTGCCCAAGTCTTAATATTGGAGAACAGTTGAGAAATATTGAATCCCTTGAAAACTTGAAAGTTCTTGATCTTGCAGTTTCTAATTCGTTAATCCAGACTCCTAATTTCTCGAGATTAACCAATCTTGAGGTATTGGTTCTTTGTGGTTGTGAAAATTTGGTTGAAGTTCACGAATCCATTGGGTATCTTGAGAAACTTGTTGTTTTGAATTTAGATAGTTGTTCTAAGCTCAGAGATCTTCCAAATACCATCTGTAAATTGAAGTCTCTTAAAGAGCTTATTCTCCCTTGCTGCTCGAATCCTGGAAAGATGCCCTATAGCTTGTGGGAAATGCAGCGCTCAACAAAGCTTCAAGATAATGCTATTTGTATCCAACCAGCGCGGCGTTTCACTAGAACAAACCGTTGGGATGGACCAGTATCAAATTTTATTACTGTCACCTTCTCAGTGGATTTCTTCCCTAGTTTCTTCCCCAGGCTGGGTTACAGGGATGTGCCAGACTTTTCTATTCCAAGTAAGATTGGGAGCTTGCTTAGTTCATTGGTAGTGCTGGATCTGAGCTACAACAATGTTTGTAGACTACCAGATGACATCAAAAACCTTACTAGTCTGAAAATCCTTGAGTTGTCTGAATGCAAAAAACTCCAGTTTCTCCCCAAGCTACCATCAAGTTTGGAAGCATTGTATGCATTCGGTTGCACATCCTTGGCAAACTTTTCAAATCCTGGGTACTTCCCTTCATTGACCAGATTTTATCTAACAGATAGCAAAATTGGTAGCCTACCAGATAGCATTAGTTGCTGTCCGAAGCTCACTGACCTTGTGCTAAGTAATAGTACGGAGCTTAAGTCACTTCCAGAGCTTCCACCAAGCTTAAAGCATTTGGTTGTAGACGGTTGTGTATCAATAGAAACATTTCCAAACTTGTCAAACAATTCGAACTTAGTTGTGCTGAAGCTTCGTAATTGTAACAAGCTATCTGAGATCCAAGGTCTGGACGGTTTATCATTACGACTCATAGACATGGGAAGCTGCAATGGCTTGACAGAAACTTTCAGGAAGAATCTCATCCAGGTCTCTCTCTCTCTCTCTCTCTCTCTCTCGCTCGCTCGCTCTCTCTCTCCCCATTGTTAAACAAATATTACATTCCTGGAACAGGTATTGTTTAATGGTGAAAAGCAAGATATCTTCCTTCCTGGGAGCAACGTTTCAGAGTTGTTCAGTGATATCCAGGTCTCTCTCTCTCTCTCTCTCTTCCCCACCGTCTCTCCATATATTGCTAAACATATATTACTTTCTTGGAACAGGTGTTGTTTAAAGGTGACAAGCCCTATATCTTTCTTCCTGGGAGCAACGCTTCAGGATTATTCCATGATTTACAGGTGGGGTCTTGGGCGCAGTTTGAGGTGTCACAATATCACAATATACAAGGATTGATTGTATGCGCTATCTATACAGTTGATGATCCTGAAAAGAAAAGCATACAAAATACAAAGAAGGAGAAAGAAGAGAAAAAAGAACAGCATACAAAAGACTTTCGGGAAAAAAGAAGAGAAGAGAGATGCATACAAAAGACTTGTCAAGAAAAAGAGGAGAAAAAAGAAAAGCATACAGATGACTTGCTGGAAAAAAGAAAAGAAGAGAAAAAAGAAAAACACATAGATGACTTACTAGAAAAAAGGAAAGAACAAAGCATACAAAAGACTTCCTATAAAGAAGAGAGAAAAGAAGAGAGGAAAGAAGAGAAGCAACCGAAAAAGGAAGAAGTAAAAATGCCTGAATATTGGCGAAAAATATGGATGTATTGGGGACAGCATTTTCATGGAACAAGAGGTCAAGATGAAATATGGCTGGGCTATAGATCAAATACAGATTTTGTGTATGAGCTGGAAGGCAGAAATCTAATGGAGGTTGAAGTAGATTCAATGTATATTCATGTCGAGGTAAAGAAGTGTGGGATCCATCCTGTATATGAATCAAATAGGAAGGATTCCCAATCAGATTATAGCTCAAGCTCTCCTTGTGCTTCTTCATCGATCTTCACATGATGACTCTGATGATGGGTCAATGGCGCTTAATGTAGGCATCGTAAATGGTGAGAGTGAACTTGTTCTACCTCCATTAGTAAGCCTCAAGGATACATGTAACCTAAATGATGACGCTGCTGATGAAGATTGATCATCATCGATTTATGACATTAATGATGAATTTGTGAACAAAGTTAACTGTTTGTGTAAAAGCTTAATCAGTCTCTGTATTGCATTACAATTCTACTTGTACTTATACAATCAATTTATGATCTCACATTAACGATGAGTTATCCTTAGTAGCCCAATGAACAAAAAAATTTGAACCTACAAATTTGAATGTATGGCTCAATTTGGAATGAGTACAAATACAAACAAATATGTACATTGAAAATATATACAAAATAGTATAAAATAGAAGGTTTTGTACTATACATATTTGTATTTGTACTCTTTGCAAACTGAGCCTATAGTGCAAGTTCTCTCACAGTTTGTATGTTGCTGTTATATCTCGAAAAATATATATACAACAAAAAAATATAGGGAGAATGACCGATCAGGGTAGGCTGAAAGTAGGATTTGGGTGGATGCCAATTCACGGGTGGGCATGAATGCATAGAGTGGGGGTTTTTGACCTTTTGAATGTTTATAACTCTGCAGTGGAAATAAGAAATCTGCATTGGGCCTGTCTGTATCTTAACTCGATTATAATTAAACTTGATTCACAAGATCCACAAGCCGAACTTCATACTATTTAAATTTGATTTAAAGCTTGATTTGGTTCGAATGTAATGGAGCATTTCATGAACCAAACTTGAATATCTCAATGATCCACACGTCCACCCTAATCAAACCAAAGGAGGGGGAGCTTTGTAAACGACAGGCAAATAAGGAGTAAAGAACAGCCAATGCATTGCTACGATTTTCAAAGTCAAAGAGTAGCATTTCTTTCTCTGAATGTAATAAAGGTAAAAAATAAAAGGAAACAAATTCAAAAAGGCCCGTGCAAATGAAGGACCAGTTCAAGGATGGAATTTGGTACGTGCATGTTTTCGGTAAAGCCAAACCTTGTATTGGTTTGCAAATGAGCCTTTTCTTGTCCTAGAGCTGTTGTATCCCTGTATCCCTAAGGCTATGTTTGGTTTGAAGGAAAATGTAGGAAAATGTAGGAAAACCTTTACAAACCTTGTATTGGTTTCCCTGTCTTTCCCTTCCTTCAAACAAAACTGTGTTTGGTGAAAAGGTTCTCAACCACCACGGCTGAATCACCCACTACATCTCGCCTCCAATACAGAAGCCTTCACAAACAGGCTCTAAAACCCCAAAGCTCACAAAATCCCATGCAGTAGATGACCATAACACAACCGCAAAGCTATGCCAACCACAAGACAGCCCTCGACACCCCAAACCACCCAACAACAAAGTCCAATCCATAAATTAAACACAACACTTTAATTGATTTTCCTTTTTCCCCCGTAGTGATCTACTACCAAAAGAATGCTCACTACTACACTGTCCCAACATACCACTGCAACTGCACATCGGGAACATCTCCCAATAATTATCTGCTACCCTCCACACCCCAAGCGCTGATTCAATTCCTTAGGCTTGGGGAGAGATTCTCAGTCCACTCCTGGATTTTGTCACTACCGAAGAAGCGATTGTGTCGTACCAGTTCGATACTTTAGCTCTTAGGCTCTCGGAGCGACTTGTAGTCTACTCTTGTTGAATTTGTCCATGCACAAGAGGTGACTGGGTCTTGTGTGATATTTTAGCCCTTAGGCTCTGGGAGCGACTCGTAGTCCACTCTCCTTCAATTTGCCAATGCTGAAGAGGCGACTGGGTCTTATGTGATGAGGAATCCTCTTATTAGTTCGTCAGTTCGCGCCTGGGCCAGGCTACTAGGTCAGTGCCCACGCCAGGTCGTGCCAAGTTGGTACATGTGCTAGGCTGCTAGGTTGCCAAGCCGCCGGGCTGTGGCAGGCCACGCGCAAGTCACACCAGGACATGCCAGGTCATCAGGCCGTACGCAGGCCATGCCTGGCCATGTGCAGGCCACCGGGTGGGCGCCTTAAGTGCTATGGTTGTGCTGCATCAGCCTCATAATGTCGGTTACCCACTCTTATAAGAAGCTATTAGGAGTACGACCTTCAGGGGCAGCTCTACAAATCTTTGGGTCGCCAGCTCATACGGGAGCCTTGGAAGACTCGACCAGCAAGGGTGCCCATGTAGTATGTTGGCCGCCAACTCCCATGGAAGCCACGAAGAGCTCATCTTTGTAGAGGGGACCTCACGAAGAGGACTAATGAGGTTTTATCTGAATTGAAAGTAAAGTTGGTAGAGCTGCTTAGTCTATTAGCTCCTTGCATAGTCTTTGAGTTCATAAAAAATGGAAAGTATAAAGCGAGAGCTTTATTTCCAAAAAATGAGGACTTAACTTTATGGGAGAAGAGGACTTAACTTTTTAGAGGAGGAGAACTTAGTTTTTTGTAGCATTTCCCATAGATGGCTGCCAATTGATGAATCAATTTTTGGTGATTTACTAGTTTTTTGGCTAAGTACCTCATCATTTGGTCTGCTTTCAAATGGCTGATGACTCAGAGGCTGAAGTGAACTTTTGCTGGATGAGGACTTGGATGCCGAGCTAACCAGGCCGAATTGGAGGCAAATTAGGTGCTGAGTTAACTGGGCCGAGCTGGACTGGTTAGGTGCCGAACCGACTGGGCCGAATTGATTGGGCCGAGCTGGGCAGGCTAAGTGATGAGCTAACCAGTGTGCCGAGCTGCCCATCAGGTGCTGAGCTGTATGATGGTGAGCTGCCTATAGCGAGCTGCGTATAGCGAGCTGCCTGTGGTGAACTGCCTATGGCGAGCTTCGCTACTCTTTAGAGACTTGCAAGGAACCAAATGCCAGAGGACCTGGGGTGGCTAACCCGACGAGGTCGCTCCGATGCTTAAGTCAGCACTCTCATATTAGAGTGTGAGCTAAAAGTCACAAGTATGAGAGGTAGAATTTCCTTATTTGCTTGCTTGGCACCTTCTGTCATTGGGGTTGGGGCCTTTATATAGGCCTTGCTCATGTACTGCCTCTGAGATCTCCAGGAGGTTGTGTCTAACTGGTCCAAGATTCCTGGAGGTAATTGTCATGCGCGTTGACCACCCTCTGGATCGTTCAGCACGTGAGCCAACCTCGAAGGATTGTAGGAGTGTTAGGATATGCATGTCGAATTTGTCGGTGAGCATGTCTCGTAGGTTACCAGGTCGGTGCCTGTGCCATGCCGCCAGGTTGTGCTTGGGCCAGGCTGCCAGGTCGTGCCTGGGCCAGGGCGCTAGGTCGTGCCTAGGCTAGGTTGTCAGCTCGTGCTTGTGCCAGGCTGCCAGGGCCAGGCCGCTAGATCGCGCTTGTGCCAGGCCGTGCCTGTGCCAAGCCGCGCATATGCCGAACCGTGCCTGTGCCGGGCTACGCCTGCACTAGGCCACCAAGTGGGACACCATCAACTTAGCTAAGGCAAGTTATTGTCAAAGTAGTTCCGGGTGTCACCTATTTGTTTTGAGGTACCATGTGTCACAATGTCATTGGAAGGGCCAATGACGAACACAAGTGCCATGTTCCACGTGCAAACATGGTCCTTCATGCCATTTTGTGATTTAAACAACACTWGGTCAAGAAAGAAACCCTAATCGATCATTTTTGGGCCCTACTTCTCCAATGGCTATGTTCTTCCTCCGAAATGTTATTATTTCCTTTTTTTACACATTTTCCTTCTTTCATTTTTATTATTTTCTTTAAGGACTAACGGCTCTGACAACCTTTGT